TCACTGCTGCCCTTCCCAGTCCCAGTCTTCTTCAAATTTCTTGGCTCCAGTCTCCACTTGAATTGATAACTGAGCCAAGGTATATAAAAGCTGTCACAATTTTGATTTTTTCATTGTTGACAGTAAAGTCCTGTAATTTGTCTGTAGTCATGCTTTTTGTTTTTTTCTGAAGTTTGAGGTGCCCCATCAAAAAGGGTGTTGAAAGCAAAAATACAATCTCATTGAAGAAACTCAACAGTAAAAGCTGTTGTTGTTTTGTACATGCGTAAAAAGCAAGCCCATGAGCATACTAGTCTAAGCGAAGCTTTATGAACATGTTCAAACCAACCAACCCAAAAAACTCAACATGCAACCAAGCCACGTGTTTCACTTTGCTGCTAAGAATATCTTCACAGAACTCAAGTGGGTTTCAGCTACAAATTTGAATAAAGCCAAGATACCATCATTTACAGGACCAAAGTAATTTATATACCTTAAGCACTTTGCAGGGGCTGAAAGCGGCAGATTACCTCATCAATAGGAGTTTATTCCAGCAGATGACGGAAAGCATGCTTTTAAAGATTCCTGTCATTTCCCAGTCTGTCTCCCCAGACATGCAGCCTAGAAGGACACCAATGAAAGCAACAGGGGATCTCCGACCAAACTGCTTTGAAAGGGATTTGTGTTGCTGCAGCAGTCTGTGGATTTGCTGCTTGTCACAGCTCCCAAAAGTCACTATTACAAGATGATAGTATTAGAAGCCATTGCAGCTACAAGCTCATTCACAAAATTACATCAATTTCTATGTAAAAATGATAAATATTCTGAAATGCTACAATAAATAGCACACAGCTGTATGTACAGTAAGTAGCTGTCAATTCTTACTCTGCATGGATGTTTGACAGGCAAAATTTCCTCATAAAACAGCAGTTACATAAGGTATTATAAAATACAATTGACTATATCATTTTCTAGGTGCAACAATCATGTTATAAGCAATACTGTTTTTGCACATTTATCTTAATTAAAATATGCCACTGAAATCAGAACAAAAATAATGAATAATAATCTCAGTTGCTACGGTATATTTTAAACATTTTGGTATCTTGATGAATTTAATGAAGTTGTATTAGCTGCTAAAATGGATCACGCACTCTTATCTTAAAACTTTCATGTGGATACACACTTCATGTGACTCTCCTTTTAGCATTGTCATTTGAAGGTTCACTTTCTTTTATCCATGAAACAATGGGTTTTTTTACTGTATATGAAGTGAAAACTTTGCAGGACACTAAAGAAGTGATCTTTAGAGATAGTCTAATTGGATGTATTCCTGCTCTTCAGCTTTAGTTTGTTTCAGCATCTAAACTTTCTCATTACACATAAACTTAGTAGGAGGTACTGTACGTGCAGAGGAGAAATAAAAAAGAATTTCATCAATCATTGCTGTATTTTTCATTGTGTGCACTCCAGAATCTTGCACGGTAACAGTACAACTCGTATAATATACCTACCGAGACATTAACACTGTTAAGTTCAGTGGGACATACTCCCAATTGTGTATAAGATTGCAACTTAAACTTACAAAGGAATAGCAATACTTTCACTCTGGAGGGACTGAAAGCAGAAAGAACACTTCTGGACTGGGCACAACTATGACAGAAGGAAGTTAGAGACTCTCTACATAGGCAGCTGTTACCGTTTTTGCAAGTCTTCTTTCCACAGAACAACTAACATAAAGCTTAAAATCCTAAACAGCGATACTAAAAAATTCTGCACAGGTGAATTAGCTGGACGAATTCACAGACTTAGTTACTGTACAGACAGCTGTTATTTTTAATTACTTTTAGGCTCACAAAAAATATACAAATTTTTAAATGTAAATCTAAGGCACACAAAAATACCATAACAATTTAATGTATACAGATATTCAAGAAGCAGAAAATTGCTGGTACAAAATGATGGTAAAACATCGACTTTTAGATTATTTACAATCCCTATATATCCTCTCTTTGAACTAAACAATCCTTGAACTAACAAAAATGCAGCATTATGGGTGTTGTTGTTTTTACAAAGTTTGCTTTAAAAATAGACCAGGTTGAAATTATCTTTTTCTTATATTAGGATTAGGATTATTATTAGTATTATACCTCCAATTGATTCAATGGGCTATTGCATAAAGACTTTAGAAATGGTTTCAATGGCATTGTATTATGAGTTAGAGATGGAATGTGCTCCAAAATTCAGTCATGCTGAATTTTGGTGATGTTCATCAGATTCCTCAAGTGACTAAATGATCATAGTCCACAGTCATAACTCATTACATTGGGCTTGCTCAGGCTCCACAGAAATCAGGGGAAATGTTTTTATGCTTACATGCCACGGATTATGACGACACTTCAAAAACACACTGACCGGCAAAAATTCTTTGATAACTATTTGCAAGTTTGTTGAGCTGCCCAGCTGGGAGCACAAATGGCTGCTAATCAGGGGAAATCTTGCACCGAGCACCAGACTTTATGTACTGCACTCTTGCACCATGCATGCATCACATCATATTGTCAACAGTGTCTCTAACAACACCAATCATCTGCTACACCAGTGGAGGACAAGGAGGTAGCAGACTCCAAGCACCCCATCCTTGCTCTTCCATTAGCTTAACAAGTTACCTGTACTGTTAGAGATGATAATGGCAATTATCTGTTTGGCTGGAGAAGAGCTAGGAGAGCTCCGTGAGTGGAAATGCCATCTCTTGCCATACTGCTGAAGCCCTGGATCTGGCCACACGTATGCAAAGTGGCCACAGTGAGATAGTTGGTGTGAGTTCCACATTTATGTTTTTGCATGACTAGAATCACAGGCAACTAAGGGTAAACAACAGAATTCACATTTTTCCCCCTAAACCAAAATCTTTTCGGATTGAACACGCAACCATGGTAGACATTTTGAAAAAACAAAACAAAACAAAAGCACCATGTCTAGGTTTTGTAATAAGCAGATCTAGACATTATTGTTACAGCACCACTACAATATATATCAAGTATGTTATCAGTAAAATTTCAGTCTCTGGTTACACCTTGGGAATTTATATACACCATGGAGAGAGACAGGTATAACCAAAGAGCTTACCCTTATGGCCTACAATCATTATAAACCATTTAATTTGGAGACTGCTGATTTGAGCTGGACCAGTCAATATCAAGAAATTCCACACTTCTTGAATAGAACTGCATGGCATGAGCCTTATCAAGGCTAATATTCTGATTGGCTTATTCAGATAACCAAACAGTACAAAAAGGAGGAAGATGAGACAGCAGTAGGATGCTACAGTATTCCAGACAGGACATGTTTCCTTTTCCTAATGTTTAAACTAGAATGGTGACAAGGTAAGCTGATTACACTCCACTATCTGAATATAAGGTCTGATTCTCACAAACTTTTTTGTCCATGGCAAATTAAATATATCACATCTAACAAGGGCCTCCCAGTGGTCCTCTATTCAAGCTGATCTGAACACTTGCATCTGTTTCGTTTCAGCTGTTCCCAAATGATTCAGTGGGCCACAGCACATTTGACTATTTACATCATCATGCTGGGAAAGTCTCTGGCAGCTACTACTACTGAGGAATTTGATTTTCCTCCCACTAGGCACATGCTGAGTGACCACCTAAAAATGTGACGGTAGCCCCTAGAAATTGCAAGTCTTCTTCTAGAGTTGCTTTTCGTGAGAACTGCAAGAACAGCATCAGGTGATGTTGGATCATTTAAGTAACAGTATAACAGGTTTTCAGATCTTTGCCAAGACCGTACCTGATGTTAAAGCTTTGTGGTAACGGCATCATTTAGGGCCACAGTACTCTCTGGCAGAGGGAATTAGCCACCTCAGGCAGCAGATGCTGGGAGAGACAAAGCCTTATGTGCCACACAGCCTTCCCATACCTCTGAAGCAAGACTGCTGCTCTCTGATCTGGCTAAGGACTTTGTCCTGTTACCATGGAAGAAGTAAGAATCAGCTTCTATACATGAAATGGGAAGGCATCAGCCTGTCTTCTGGCTCAGGTGGCAAAATATCATTGAGCTATCCCAGTCTTCCTTACTTATACACCTCCTTCAAGGCTCCTGATCAAAAAATGGGATCGATCAGGCCACCACGGTTTAAGGATGAGTTAGCAAGATCTAGCAACAACATTTGCAAACAGGAAGACCCCAGTAGGATGAAAAGCCCACCCTTCCTATGGTTAAACTTGTACCTGGCAAAGAGTTTGGAGAGGCTCTGAAACTGTAGCTCTGGGGAAAGCAGGTTGATTCAAATTGCGGGGAGGAGTGGAGAAATCTATACAAAAGGAAAAAGTGTGCATCACACTGCAATTGCACCTCAACAAATTCACAGGTTAAGACATAGCTGGGTCTTGAATTGAGGCTAAGCAAAGAATGGACCTCTGCTTCTTTCAGATTCTGTCTGTGGGATTTTTTGACAGGAGAAGCCATAGACTAGCCCCTCCCATGTGAGACATGTTGTGGGAATTAGTCCCTTCAATGCTACCAATTCTCTATTAACATAGGAGTGGGGAGAAGAAAATTTTACAGAATAAGACTGCAATCCTATGCTCACCTACCCAGGAGCAAGCCCCACTGAATGTAGTAGGACTTAGTTCTCAGTAAACATGCACAGGACTGGGCTGCATGTTAGAAAACATTCTTGACTTGACAACAGTTGATGAACATTCAGGATGTGTCATATTTTGTTAAAACAGCTGATACTGGAAATCTCTCTTTTTAAAATTCAGGATATTAATAAGGCAACTCCGGGGAAGCGGGGCTCAGTTTCAGATGTTATGACAATTCTACCCGAGGCTCTGGGAACAATTTGGTTGTCATACGTAACTTGCAATGCTCCACATTAAAGAAAGAGAGAGATCTGAGAGAGAAACTTATGAACTTATTGCTCAAATAAACTATACCAAATCAAATCTTACAACAAAACACCATAGCAATTCAGATATGGACAAAATACTTCTAAATTCGTATTTGCAAACACTGATCTTTCTGCATTTTATTAACCTTTTTTGTTTAGGAATAAACCCAAAATTAAAATGGTAAAAGGGGTAGGAATCTAAAGACCAAATATTCTTAGTATGTATGAATTGTTGTAGCAATATGGAACTCTACACAGTAAGAAAAAAAATAAATTCCTTGGTAGAGAATGCACAAACCTTAGACAAATGTGATCGTTGTACTATTTCAAGTTAACTTTAAAAATAGAAAGTGCTTTTAAATATATATTTACAGTTTACAACCTCCAACCATCACTAGTGATATTGTTTGTGTGTGCATGTGTATTGATTACACATGCACACAAACTATACATACATGAAAAATCTGTACACAGATAAAGCATCATTGGTTCTTTATCCTTAAATTGGGCTTCACATGAGTGAGTGGAAGCTGTCGGAGCAATGGCACCAAGAAGGAATAAAATCAGCTTATCTTTAACTGTTCGATGTGATTAAGCACCAAGAGGGGTGTATAGCTAATACTGTCTAACTTGATTTTACATCATAAAAGGTGAAATCTGTTAAAATCTTTATAAAAAGCCCATTTGTAGTAAACAGACAATTTAAAGCACCAAAGTGTAAATTCCAAAAAGGTAATAAACTGAATAAGTCAATCAAAGTTAATAACCTAGCCAAAATCATTGAACTATACAATTTTTTTGCTTAAAATGTGCTTGAGAATCACCAGATGTTAAAATATATAAAGTCACAGTTTAAGAAAAAAAATCATTTTTTTACCTCAGCCTTCAAAATGGTTGAGATGAACAAAGAGTAAAACATACAAGACTTTGTTCTTTAACAGCACCTTTAGGAATCATTGTGTAACACTGCTCCAAGGCAAGAGTTGTAAAGTTACTATAAAAAATTATGCCCAATGGTTATATGGCCCTGCAACTCGTGTGAGGGCATAAGTAGACACGGTTATGATGTTATCATGAGTTACTGTTAATGCTCGGCGGGATGGAATTTGGTTGAACTCATTGTCTTCATAGAAAATCTCTCGGCTGGTATTGGCTTGTGTATTCCTGTCACTGGGTTGTAAATTAGTATTCTCATCCATGCTCAATTTTCCCGCTTCTTTCTCTCTTGCTCTTTCTGCCATCTTTGCCTCCCACAGCGCTATACCATGTTTTGGCTCGTTTAGGTTTTTATGTTGGTAAAAGACTAAAGAGATCCGTGTGGGATGATTCCTGTTTGGTTTTTTAATTGGCGTTGTTGCATGTAGTTCGCGGCGTGCACATTCAATTAAGATGGAGCCGTGTGATGGTGCTACTGCTACCCCACCAATGTCATTATCCAAAAAGTTATGCTCACTGTCTGACCACATTTCCTCTGCTTTGTCTTCCGAATCTGTGCGCTTCAGAAGCTCACTATGCAGCTGTTTATTCACAGTGGCAGAATCACAATCTGGGGTTTGCCTGAAATCGTTTTTTTGCACTAGATGCTCCTGGGAAGAGCTGGTTTCGTTTCTTACTACATATTCTGGAGCATTTGATGGCATTGATGATTCCAAAGAGCTAGCCAACTGTGAGGCAGAAGAGTTTTCTAATTTAATTTCACAATTCTGTTTGCTGACCACCTCTTGTTCAAGTCTGTAGGGAAGATTTTCTCTATTAGTTGTGGATTTTGAAACAGTCAGGTCTTGAAGAAACGGAGGCAAGCCATCCCTCTTCTCATCCAGCAGAATTCCAGTATGATCACTAATGGACACATCAAAATTCTTACCATTGGGCGTTACTTGAGGTTTGTTACTATTACACTGCACATACCCGTAGGAAGTTGGAAAATGTTGTTGACTATTCGTCACTGGCATTATACCACCAACTTTGTGAGTTAATGGAGAGCAAGAATGTAAATTATCCAGCTTTAAGGGGGAGGAAGGAGCATATTGCTTTACTATGGAGCAATTTTTAGTAGTGTCTGAATTATTTTTTATGGAAGAAAGGTGTTCATCAGACTCCATTTTTGTCCCAGGATGCCATGTACATGTTTTGTTCTCTAAGGGAAGGAAAAAAATAAGTATATCAAATGTAAATTTTAATTTTTTAACTTTTAGCAAAGCACGCACCACATGCCAATTTGAATTTCTTCCTAACCCTTATTATTTATAAAATGCATATACCCCTAATCCTCAACATTACAACATTAGCCTTCTTACATGAAAAATTAGTATTCTCAGAAATCTGTCAAAATCTTGCAACTTACACAGAAATATTCTAGGTATGAACCCACAGTAGTTCCCACCGGACCCATTTCCTTGGGCCATTTTAAACATTTAGTGAGCACGCAAAAATAGCATCCTAAATCCAGTTCCATCATCAAGCTCCAGTACTCCAATACACTTGCCAGACAGGTATAAGTACAAGCAAAAGAGCCAGTGGTATATATGGCACATAGCCTAGAATAAACAGGTGAAAGTATCCCTGAAATATAGAATCACTTTAAATTAGATGGAGAGCTCTGGGATTGGAAAATGAGAGGTCAGAAAAAGGGTTAATCACTGCAACAATAATTATGGAACTTCCACACAAGATCTTTTTTGTCCTACCTTGAGAATGTATTTATGTAGGAAAAATGTCATATGTGAAGCTGTCTAATCAGGGAGTGAGAACACCAACATTTTGAAATGATGAAGTGCAATTATTGTACTTATTACAAAGTATATAGTAAGTGCACTAATAAAAGGCCAAAGCAAAGGCCAGTGTTCAAAACAGGGAGAGAAATATAAGCTGAATATAGAGATGGACAAAAAACATCCACAAGGAGAATACTTAGTAGTACCAATGTGGCAACTATATAATGAGCAGGGGTTTTAGTAGACAACACAGTGCCAATGCCTGTCTATGGGAAAAGAAGAGAAAAGGAGGAACTCAGATATCTCTAAGATGTCAGATGTTGGGCCAATCAGAACAGAGTTCTTACTCAAGTGAAAATGTCATTTGTAATTTTAAATTGTCTGTTGAATTGTACATAAATTCCAATCATCATCCAGGTGCTTTTCAGGTTTATATCCTCCTAGGACAATATGCATGTTTGCCATGAGTATTTCTACCTCCACGATGCATCGTGAAGCACAAATTAGCACAATTAGTTTCTACTGCAGCCTTCTGGCAACTCACTGATATTATTAAATGTTTGTGTCTCTAGATTTTGCTTTGTGCCACTGTGACACTTTATTAGACACGTCAAGGTCAACCCTGATGAGAACATTTGTGAAACATCATCAATTTCACCCACCTAAAGTTTGTGAAGCTTTAATGGTATTTTCGGGCATTCCACTTTTCCCCTTTACAGGTGTAGCATGCTTCTTTTCTGCTAAAGTTTGCTTCTTTGCGTCTGGTTTCTTTTTCTTTGTTGCTCTACGTGGCTCAGCTAACATTCTTACTTCCCGGGGAAAAGCAGTAAGCACCTGTATTGCCCCAGCTTTGATCTTGGCTTCCAGCCCTTCTTCTGTGCCAAATTCATCTGTTTGTGAAATTTTGTAAAGAGGTAACACATGCAGCTGCTCATCATTTGGAATCACTCCCACTGTACGGTTGTCTTCTTTTGTTAAAGTACAAACCTAACCAGGGCAGAGGGGAAATACAATAAATTCTGTGTTACTGAAGCAATTTACTTGAAGAACATGAAAACTGACTTTTGGTCTCTTTCTCTCTCCCTTACTTCACAATGTAGAATAAGTTTACAGGTAAGGAAATGTGTGTATGCATTTGTGATAATGATATATATTTATGAGATATGGTATTATCATTATTTACATTGCATTCTTATTCTGTCTTTTTTCTTCTTGAAAGGAACTCAAGGTGGCATTGCATAGTCCTCCTCCACTGTATCTTGTCCTCCCAACAACAACCTTGTGAAGTTGGTTTGGCTGAGAGTGAATGACTGGGCCAAAGTCACCCAGTAAGCTTTGTGGTCAAGTGGGGACTAGAACCCAGATCTCCAGTCCAACACTCTAACCACCACACTGGATCATAGCCCTCTTCTCTGTCAACGAATGCCAAGGCAGCTATGGAAGTCCTAAATTGTTTGGCTACAGTGAGGGATTGGATGTGGATGATAAACTGAGGGTCTGTCCAGAGAAAACAGAGGTCTGCTGGTCAGTAGATGGGCCAATCCAAGATTGGGAGTATGACTTGCTCTGGATGGGGTTTAATTCCCTCTGAAGGATCAGGTATTCAACTTCGGGAATTCTTACTCAAGTGAACTCCAGTGTTGCTCTTGGATGGTCAGGTAGTGGCACTTGTCCGGAGTGAGGTCTCCCCCTTTGTATGTTTGAAGTAAGAGACTGTTCTTTGGCAAAAGCTCTTTATTCTTCAAAGTAGTAACAATACAATACAAAGGTACATCCATAACAACAAAAATATTAGAAGGTGAAAAATAAAAACAATACAGTCCTATATATATAAATCAGTCAAAAGAATTAATATTTAGTACTTTGTATTGTATTGTTATTACTTAATTAACATCTAAAATTATTCTCCAAAGTACAACTGGGAAGCACAATCACCACAGAATGACTCTTTCAGCATACACAGAGCAGCTTGTTGAACTGAATCTAACAACTGCCTCTGAGAACGCTCCTTGTAAGTAGGCCTGGACTCCCCCTCTCTGGAGGGCCCTTTTGGAGGTGGGCCAGCTCTTCTTTCCTGACACCACATCATGGGGTCAAGAATTGTACAAGCCTCGTCTGGCACCTGGAGTTCCTGTCGTGCACCCCCTCCTGACAGTTGTACATCCTGGCTATTCTCAGAGTCTGTCTGAACACCTGGAGAAGGCGGCCTTGAGATAAGCCCCTCTGCTTCTCCCATCTAGGTATGTGAAGGCCCAGTTTCCCAGGGCCCATCCTCCCCATCTGAAGAGTCCAAATCTTCCTAACCTTGAAACTTGTGCCAAGCACAACTGCATTTTTCACTCCCAACAGCAGTGGCCAGGAATGCTTTTGCCCAACTTTGGCAAAGGGGAAGGCAGATTTGACCACAGTATGTTAATCACCTCATATCTAGATCACTGTAATATGTTTTATGCATAAACTGGCCATGAAAAGTGTTGGAAATTACAGCTACTGCAGAATTAGTGAACCTCACAGATCATGCGAGAAAACATTATTTGATGATTACTCAAGACTAGGGTTTCTTTGCGGTTATGAAACTACCTTCCCAGATTAAATAGGCTCCCTCGTAATTGCCTTTAGCTGCCTAGCAAAATAACTATTCTATTCCACTGAGTGATTAATGTTTTTCTTTGATTTTAGAAGTTTCTCCTGATTTAGTGCATCATATCACTTTTGTTTTATTTTTATTCTTTGGGGAATTGAGGTTTACTTGTGACGTATTTTTGTGAATTGTAAATTGACTTGAGCATTCACGTGGGGTAGTCAATTCAAAAATATGCTGAATAAATACATTCATTACACTCCTCAAGTGTATCAATGTGGCTTGTTTGGTAAATTTTATATTACTCTGTTGTTTTAGTAATATTCCTTGAGCTTGTAATATCTCTGTTCTATTATTGTTTTAATCATTTTTATGATTGTAAGCTGTTTTGAGAGCCATTTTCTTGATAAGACAGGTGGCATACAAAACAAACAAATAATATTAAACACTGCAATTACTGCAATTGCACTGCAATTGGAAAACATTACTACATTGCATTATATAGCCTGCCTTTTTTCCTCCTGTGAGGAACCCAAAAGCGTAATTTATCCAGTTGGAAGCACAGGAAATCTATGTATCGTAAGCATACAACTATGGCATTGTTAGGTCAGCAAGGAAAGTCGTAAGTAGGAAACCCATGCCAAGAAACCTTACATACCACAGTGCTTCCATTGTGCATGTTGTGAGTATCCTTATGGGCATGGGCACAGAAATCAATGCAAGCCGTTACACCAGAAAAGGGCCGCCCTTCCTTGATCCCCAGTCGACAGTCAGGGCCCAGATGCTCATTTTCCACCTAAAAACAAAATCATCTTATTTGGAGAGAAAACTGCATTATGTCAGACACAACCAGTAGCCAGAGCATTTTCACTTGAAGTGAAGACCTGGACTGAGAAAACACTGTTTAATTCGTACTCGTACATCATTGTTAACAGATATAGCACAAATTATTGTTATGGCAAGAATCAAATCTAAAAATCTTGTTAACTCTCTATCTGTAAAAATTATTGACTGGCAAGTTTAGGCACATAAGAAGCTGCCTTATATGGAGTCTGATGGTGTATGTAGTCCTATATTGTTGGCTGTCGGCGGCTCTCCTGGGTTTCCTAGTCTTACTTACAGAGGCCAGATATCAAACTGCTTATCCTTCTGAATGCAAAGCAGGTCCTCAGTCACTGAGCTACAGACTTTCCCTGTTACAACTGGTAATATACTAATTGCATTCATCCTGTACAATAATCCATTATACGCAACTAGCTAAGATGGATTGCTACGTCGTATATACATAAGACACTTTCCTGCAGAACTTGCTTTGTCAAGCCACTTTGACAACCCATGGCTTGTAGCAAGGGTTGTCACTGAAACCCTGGGTCCAATGACCTGGGAAGTATTCCCTGTCAAACTATAAGAGGCAACATCCAAGAAAATTGATGCAACAAAGCTACAAAGAAGTTTGTCCTTTACTTTGCACTCTCCAAATAGTTTTCAAAAGATGAACTATCAAGGAAAAGCAAGGCCTTTCTTTTTTCCCACCTTAGTCTCTTATGTGGAAAAGTACGAGTCACCCCATTTAAAGAAGAAACAAGTTTTTAACAGCTAGCTGTCAAAATTCAGACATCCTTTTAAAACCATGTTTCTGACAGGACTAGCCAGGATTTTTGACCAGGACCCTGTCACAAAAATCCTGATTAGCTTTGTAGAGGGGACCCACTCCAATTTTAAAAGGAAGTCTGTGTTGTGACTGTTGTCAGAAATCTGTTCTCACATCAATGGAGTGGCTCACATTTTTTAACTTTCCTGACCACCTAGAGCAGGGGTTCTCAAACTTTTTCAATAGGGGGCCAGTTGAAAAGTGCGGGCCGGTGAGGGGGGAGTGCCTGGGCATGCGGGTCAGTGAGGCGTCGTCAGGTGTGCGCAAGGTGGTGTTGGGCGTGCGCAGCGGTGACTCGCTCACTTGGAGATCTTCCAATGAGTTCAAAATCATCTCTGAGCAACCCAGCCAGCCACTGGCGAGTGTGCGCACGGGTGGCGGACGGCGGCATGAGCCGGATGAAAGGGCATGATGGGCCGGATCCATCCCGCAGGCCGTAGTTTGAGGACCCATGACCTAGAGTCTAGCAAAAGGGTAGAAAAGAGCTAGGACACTCATACAACTCTGTTTCAACCAAGGCAAAAACCAAAACTGAAGGAGCTCACCACAAAGATGACCAAAGATCAGTATTCATTTGATAGCTGTGAGGAGGGCGCAACATACAAAATAAACTTCTTTGTAGCCTTATTTCATTGATGTTCCTGGATAGTGTTTCCTACACTTTGACAGGAGATACACTCTAGGATATTAATGAGCCAAGGTGCACTTGTGCAATGCTAAATAAAAATGGGGATATTTGAGCAAATTTCAGACATTATTTTAAAAAGTTAGCAAACAGATGCTGCTTGGGCACTCTGGAGGGATTGACAGTTGTTACTCTCAGGTTCATAAAAAGTGATAGAAATATCTAGGGAAAAGGAAGAGGAAGCCCTGGTTAGTGCAAAAGAACTTGTGGTCAGCAAGAGAAGGTTGACTAAACAAGCCCCATCGTGGAGTCCACTGGGATATCCATGGGAGAACCAAGGATGGGGAGACAAACCACAGCAAACCTGATCATCTGTCAGGTGCACTCTGGGTTGTTCTATTAAAAACCCACACTGCATGGGTTATTTGCAGGGTGGGTTGTTATGACATGTGAACTCACTCTCTATCCATCATATGGAAGTTTATTTGGGGTGCCAATTGGCACAGCTGGAAAGCAATGGACCAAATAGCAGGAATCTGAGAGCGGTGACATGCTGAACAATTCAATCTTATGCCTGTCTTTTTAGAAGCCATTCCCATGGAATTCAACAGGGTTTACTCTCAGGTAAATATGTACAGGATTTCTGCTTAATCAACCTTTTAAGGAGGACTCAAAGGTAGCAAAAGACTTCTCCAATGAAAGATGTATTGGCTTTTGTATTAAGAGAGATTTGCGGCTTCTCTCTTGCATCAAAAATATTAAAGTGATGAGGTGACATACAGGAACAGTGAATATTTGTATCAGAAAGTTTTCTGAGACCTACCTGATTCTGGAAAGCATCAGGCGCAAGTTTCTGATACAGTGGAGCCACATCAGTAGCTAAAGTTTGCAAATTATTTTCCAGATTTTCTTCCTAGAAACACAGGGAGAAGTCATCCTATAATTTCATAGTATGTTAACAGACCAGTAAAACTATGAAAACACAATTAACAGTTTCAGTATGGTGTTTATTCAGCTTCCTGTGGTTTGGGTGACTAGCCCACATATCAGCTTGCTATCACAGCAAAACACAGCAACATTTTCAGAGTTGGTCAAAGAAATGGAAAAGTATTCATATGGAAAAGTATGGAAATAGCAAAGTATTCAAAAATGAATCATTTGGTGCAAAAAAAATTAATGAAGGATCCCAAGACTAGCTCCCATTTCCTTAATCCTCACGCAGACTCCATTTCCAAGACCAACAGCTACTGGGAATGTTGAAAGAGCAATCATATTAGCAATGAAAAGTAGATTCATATTTCTTCTGCTTAATGAGTAGTGTAATTGGGTGTAGCTGTATAATTGTAGTTATATATGCTTCTAAGTGCTTCAGATACATTTCACTAATCCTTAGAACTGTCATGTAAAATAGGTCATGTATATTACCACATAGCAGATGGGGAGACAAAATGGGGAGATGGGGAGTCTTATGACAGCGTGTTTAAGATTACCTACTGAATTCAAGGCAAAGATGAGAGATGAATTGGTGACTTCCTGGGTCACAACTCAGATACCTAATTTGCACATGACAGCTGCAATTCCTGGGAGTACAAGAGGCATTTCTGCAATTCTCATATAACCCATGGTCTGGTTTTGACTAACTCTCACACAAGCTGCGTTCACAGATTCACATGACACAACAACCCCTAAGCAAAGGTTGTATATGCAATTTGGTGCCTCTGGGGACTGTGGCTTGTTGTGGGTTACATAACCCATGATGAGCCATGGCATGTCATCCAGACCCAGCCAATATATATGGCAATCTCTTTTGCTTAACTCAACAAAAAATATTTCATGCAAAGCTTATTGGCATTATTGAAATTTTGTTTAGGTTTTGCTACATTTGCAATGCGCACAATAGTTGAAGCAAAACCTAAGTTAATTTCCTGGACACTTACAGTGCCTTGCAGAAGTATTCACCCCACCCTTTGATTTCTCCACATTTTGTTGTACTACAACCTGGAATAGAAATGGACTTAATTGACATCAATGTACACAAGACACTGAATACTGTGAAGGTGCAAAATATTTTACTGGGACAAAAAGGTTAAGTAAACTAACATAAATTGGCACTTGCTAGTTGAGAAGGTATTTGCACTCCCCCCACTCAAGTCAATCCTTCCTAGAAGCACATTTGGCAGCTGTAAACAGCTGGATCCTGTAACATTTGCCCTTTCTTTTTGGCAAAACTGCTCCTGCTCTATCAAGTTGGATAGACACCATTGGTGGACATCAACTTTCAATCCTTACCATGAATTTTCAATTAGACTGAGGTCTGAGTGATGACTGGGCCATTCTAAGACCTCCAGGTTCTTGTTTTGAAATCACTCTAGCATTACTGTAGCTGTGCACTTAGGGTCATTTCTTGCTAGATGCTGAACCACCAGTGCAGTCCCAGGTCTTGGACAGATTGAAACAGACTGCCCTGCATGTTGCTCCATTCATTTTGCCCTCAACCCTACCAGTTCCCCAGTCCCTGCCAAGGAAAAGTATCCACACAGCATGCTGCTGCCACCTCCATGCTTTCCCTTGGCAACGTGCCCTGATGGCTTTATATCACACAGAGTTTTGCAAGCAAAGCCAAACGGTTTTGCTTGGTTTGGTTTCATCAGCTTAAACTCGAAAACCTTTTCCCATGTTTGCTCTGTCCAACATGCTTTTCTGCAAACTCCAAATGGGCTTTTATATGGGTTTGTTTCAGCAATGGCTTTCTTCTCACCACTCACGCATAAAGCCCTGCTGTATGGAGTATCCAGGTGGTAATGATCATTTCTTCCATCTCAGCTGTGACTCTCTCTAGCTCCTTCAAAGTTACCATTGGTTGCATCTTGGACTAATGCCCTCCTTACCCAGTCCCTGATTTTGATGGACAGCCTTCTTTAGGCATAGTCATGGTTGAGCCACATTTTTTCTATACTGCAATAATGTTTTTAATGGTGCTCCAGAGGATATTCATAGTTCACAGAATATGTTTTATAACCCAACCCTGAGTAGTGCCTCTTTACAACTTTATCTCAGAATTATTTTGATAGCTCTTTGGTCTTCATGGTGTTGTTCCTTTAGATTTGCTCTCCAACGAACTCTGGGGCCCTAAATAAATAGGTGCATTTGATCTGAGATCATGTGGCACTAGAAATGCACACTGGTATACTCCATTCAACTATTTATAATGACTTCTGGAGGTAATGGAGCTTAAGTTAGGCATATTCCAGTAAAGGAGATGAATACATAAGCAACTATCAAGAACCAGTTCATTTTTGTTTACTTAACTTTTGTGCTACAGTAAAATAGATTTTGCACCTTCATAGTATTAAGTGTCTTCTGTACATCAAGTGGTAACAATGCCAGTCAAATCCATTATTAATGTATGAACAAAAATTCCAGGTAATAAAAACAACAGAATGCATAGGGTTGAAGGCACTGCAAGCTTCCACTTCAGATTAACCATTGTTTAGTGTGTCATGTAAATCCTACACTTTAGTTAATCTTAATTATGATTTGTTAAAACAAACTGCTTCATAACCTATGGTTTGAAGCTCACTTGCTTCAGAGAAACCACCGTTAAGATTAACCACATCTTGTTGCACTTGAATAGCATAACAAGCTAAGGTTAACTAAAATGGAATCAAAAGTTTATAATCCAGAGAGGGGCCAAGACATAACTGACTTGCAGCATACAGAACCCAGCTGCTGTTCCCTTCACTGCTGGCATGATTAATTTAGCAGCCTCTTTTCGGGGATGGCAGTGAGGGGATAAAGTTTGTTATCAAGGTAACTTTGTCCCTTTAACTGCTCTGTAACTACTACTGAGTGCTGAAAGGGTCAAATTTACCCAACTTGGGCCATCAAAAGAGGCAAAAAGCCCCTGGACCAGCTACAGTTCCCAGCCCTTTCCTAACTCTTCCTCACATATGCTCTCGAGGTGGAGAGAGTGTGAGCCGAGGGCTTGCTGCAGCTTGTTCATATAATGCTAAACTATCAGCCGATTGGCTTAACACTACATGTAAACTAGCTCAGTACAATGAACTCTTATCCACAAAATGCTGCTATCTATTCAATATTTTCTTCTTGACTGCTTTCTATCCAACAGACTTCTCTAGCTTTATAATCTATACTACAAGCTATTCTTACCTAAAAGTATAATCTTATACTTCTTTATATTTAACCTCATCTCACTCCGTCCAGTTGTTCAAGTGATCCATATCTGTCTTTACTTTGAATCTATCTTCTTCTGCATTTGCATTGCTATACATCCTAGCTTTATGCCATCTGCAAAATGATCAATATTCAATATTTAGCTAAAATAATTATTTATCTAATAAAAACAGTGACAACAAACACCTTAGTGAAGCAACTACTCTATTACCTTTGAACCAATTAACTAAGAATGGTATGATTAATGCTTGCTTCACCAGTACATAACTGTAATAATGGAGATTAGCAAGACCCCTGCAAAAGGATGACACACAAATTCAGGAAGTGTAGTTACAGAGCTGGTGCAGCACAGTGGTTGGAATGATGCACTAGGACTCAGGAGATCAGGGTTCTGGGCCCCCTTAGCCATGGAGCTCCCTGGGTGACTTTAGGCCAGTCATGTATTCTCAGCCTAATCTGCCTCACAGGGTTGTTTTTGTTGCAAGAATAAAATTGAGAGGAGAGCCATATGTAAGCCACCTTCAGTAAGAGGAAGAAAGGTATGGTAGAAATGTAATGTAATAATAATCTTTCGAAAGTCGAGGAATATGGCAAATAAACTTTACATACTTTTGTGTGTTTTAGTCAAGCAAATACTGGTCATTAAAGGTGAAGTTCTTTTTTAATGGAGAGAAGGCACGTATGTGCAGATCTGTAAATTACAGTGGATAGCTATAGGTTACTTTTGTGAAAGAGTCAATAAATCAACTATACACAAAAGGGTTGCGTGAGTAAAAGAAAAGGCTTTATTTGCAAATAGTTAATAGTGTGTATGTGTTTTGTCAGGGGCAAAACTTTCTCATAATGTCCAACTGACACACAGAAACATGTTAGGTTGGAAGGAAATTATTTGAGATTATATTATATTTCATTTGTTCTGAATGTTTCTGAAGTGGGTAGATACAAGTGCTGCATTGTTCCAGTGGGTAAAATATCTGCACTCTTACTACTTTTAGCCTTTAAAAGTAATTATTTCCAGAGAGAGAGAGAGAGAGAGAGAGAGAGAGGGAGGGAGGGAGGGAGGGAGGGAGGGAGAAAGCGAGCGAGTGCACAAGCACATGCGGGCAGGGGAACTCACTTACTTGCTTATGATCATCTGTAAGAAGTCTAAATTTCCTGGGGGTTTTACTTCTTGCAAACTTACATCCATTGTAATACATACTCCATGAACAGCCAAATGAGAAGGATGCTCCACATGTCTCTGGGTCAAGACCTTGACAGGCACAAGTACGACTGTAGAAGAATTAAATGAGGCGCAATCAGCTGGAAGTGCAGCAAGATGGTATAAAGACATTCACTGTCTTCCTCTGAACAGAACAGCACAAAATATGCATCCAATAGTTGAGCAGCTGTTTCTGATTAGGGTCAATTTAAAAACATATGTAAGACATGTCAGATCTTTTCCACATACAATTAAGAGTGCTCCATGGTTTCTCCCTAGGAGAGGCAGTGATTAAAAATGTGGTATTCTACCCCACACACCATGAAACTGAAGAAATCTACAATAACATCAAAGCTTTGCCAGGTAACACATCACTGGTGTCACACCAGTGAGATCACTATCAGTTGTGGGGGGAAATGGGGAAAAGGAAAATACTGGCAACATGGGAAAGAGAATGTTCCATAAGCGAATTTCAATTTGTCTTTTTGTCATCTGAATGTGGTCACCAGCGGTCACGGACACATGTAAAAGCCAACAGTTACACATGGCTGAAAACAGGTCAGAAACAGTGTCTGGGCAGCTTCAAATGACATGTTATTCCACACGGCAGCACCAAACATGCAGCATGGGTTGTTTGCCGTTGGCACATGGTGGGTCCATGTGTAATTCTTTTCAGCCCGATTCTCCTGGATAGCCAGCTGGCAAAACTGAACTCTGCACTGCAGAAGCGCAGAGTGAGGAAGCAGGGATGGCTTCAGCCATCCTTGCCCCTGTGTTCTCTGCCACTGCAGAAGAAGCCTGTGATAGTTGCCCTGCAGTGCCCCTTGGGACTTCAGTGGCAGTCACCCACCAGTTGCTTGGTAAGGGGAATTTTACACTCTTGCTAACCAGTTCACTTATAGTTGGATTTGACCCATGATGAGTCATGTTGCCAGGTCTGGACAACATGACAACCATTTGTTGATCAAACAGCCTCAGCTATAAGCCATCAGGGTAACTTCTAAGTCAAAAATAAGCCACCCTAGCAAACCTTTCCCTAGTTTCACACAACATGACAACTCACCATGGCTCATGAGCTTTATGAATAATGCAAGAACAGCTCTTTCTTGTTCTCACTGCATCTTGTAATACACACAGTTATTCCATCTTTGAAAGGTTGCAATAAAGTCTCCTATCCTGTTACAACCCTAGTTGCATTAAGAACACCTGATAAAGGTCCAAATGCAGTGTTACATTTGATTATCATCAATGGCTGTTTGAGCAGCTGAGAAAAAGTAATCAAATGGGGTATCTGTGTTACTTTCCACATGAGAAATGCTAGATTACTATGGATCCCACACACAGAAAATTGTCTTTAGGAAAACAACATGAATAAAGCATATCAGTTCAAGTATTCTTTTCAAATCAATTTGTAATCACCTGAGCAAAACCTTATGTTGAACTCTGTACAAATATCTTTGAGGCATCTTTGAAGAACTCTAAAAGATGCTTTTTCTTCATAAGAGCCATTCTAATGTAGCATACATTCCTTCTCATTATGAACAATAGATTCCAACTCATCCAGTTTGGATTAATTTAAAATATGAAACCATGCAGCATGCCCTCTTTAGATCAGTGAACATTTACATGTGTAAGCCAATAGGAAAATAGGTATGCGAAACCAAAATATCTGGAAACAAAAACATGATGCCATGGCAGAACCCTGTCATTCTCGAAATTCAAACCAGACATGGCTGATTTGTGAGAGTTCTCACTGGAGGGAGCACTTTCAGGAGCCATCCTTAACTTCATGCCCTCCAGATGTTTATGGACTACAACTTCCATTGCTACTAACAATTTCAGACTGGGACTAAAGGGAACAGAAAGTCAAAATATTTGGCAAGTGTCCGTCTGGAGAAGGTTGATCTATGTAAAAGCAGACCTTACTAAGCTACTATTACATTTTCTAATCAACTGACTTATTACTGAGGCATACTAAGTTTGTGTTTAATTGTTCAAAGAATGATACCTTGGTTTGATTAGACTGATAGAGAGACTTGTTTGCAAGCCCTAGATAGCATCAGAAGATGGCAAAACAAACCATGGCCCCAGTTAAGGGCATACTCTTAAAAGATGAAGAGGACATGTTTTCATAATGTTCTTTATTTTCCCAGGAATGGAGATGGAATGAGGAGAAAGCTGATATTGGTTGTCCCACACATTATGCTTAGCATAGCAATTAAATGTAACCTATATCATGCTGAAACATTTAATGCCACTGCAACATGACTACAGATTCCCCCCATCCCCACTTATCTATTATGATTATAATTATAATCTGAAATCTAAAAAATACTAATTAGAGTCCATCCTGGTTATTTGATAATTATACATTCATGCATGTAAACAGTAGTTTGGAGTGCACTTACTCTTCATTTAGTGCACATCTACGGCTCGTTGGACAGCCATATTTTCTAAGACTTTGGGTCAGTTCCTTATACAGTGTGTCTGCCAGAAGGTGGGGAATCCCCTCCCAAGCCAAAATAAGTATCACAATGACGGCAGTTTGGCAGTGGTGACCTGCACGCTGACGAACCAGGCACAATAGTTTTTCTTCATCACTACTTCTTCGTATCACCTGCAAAATAAATTTGATTGTTTATAGCTCAGTCAGAAAGGATGTTAGATTCCGATGCCTATTACTTGTTCACAAAAGCATAGCAAAAGCTGCCATAATGGATTCTTACTAATGTTCCTATTATTGCTGCTATCACTTATTTAACAAATTGTTTTGTTCTACCATTGTTTCCACCTCCCTCCTTCTCACTGTCAAGTTCATTACTCAGAACCAGCCAAAACCATGAGTCTAGATGCACCTTGCTGACAGTTTTTAAAAATGCAGGCATCCTAACCATGGAAACTAAAGCCAAACAAAACTGCAAACCAACCAGCCAACCAAGATGTAACTCCCTTTCACTGTCATTTTGATTACATAGTCCTGTGAGCTCTATCCTAGCATCATTTTATTTATCTATTTAAAACTTTTTTAAATTGTCCATTACTGTGGTCTTGGGACAGTTTGACAGTAAAGAAGAATAAAACAAAAACAAAACACAACATCCTAATTGATTTCTAGCAATAAAACCCATATTAAAATGACAATCAAACCTTAAAATATTGGGAAAATAAAAAGGTTTTAGCCTGGCACCAAAAAGAATAAAGTGACAGTGCCAGGTGAACCTCTCTGGGGAGCGTATTTCACAAGTGGAGTGCCAGGACAGAGAAGGTCCTTCTCTGGGTAACCACCTTCCTAATTTCTTCAAGGAGGGCTTCTGGAGAAGGACCTCTGCCCCAGATCTTAAGGGGTGGGCAGGCACATATGGAAGGAGACACACCTTCAGGTAACCAGGTCCTTAGCCATTTAGGGCTTTATAGGTCATCACCAGCACCTTAAATTGAGCCCGGACTTCAACTGGTAGCCAGTGTAGGTGGTAAAGGACCAGTGTTATATGTACATACCTGCTGGTCCCTGTTAACAACCTGACAGCTCTGTTCTGAACCAACTGAAGTATCCGGACCATCTTTAAGGGCAGCCCCATGTAGAGTGCGTTACAGTAGTCCAATCAGGAATTTACCAGAGCATGGGTCCCTGTTGCCAGGCATTGCTCATCCAGATAGGGCACAGTTGATAAATCAGGTGAAGCTGAAGAAATACGCTCCTTGTCACTGTTATTGTCATGTTTGCACCATGATGTGCTTGTCAATTACAAAGTATTTAAAAATACATATAGCCCAAATGGCCACTTTCCCCCATAAGGCATAACAGCACTCCATTTTCCTCTACTCTCCATGCCACACATAAACAGAAGAAACACACGTGTGTTGAAAGGAGAGAGGGGACATCTTGGGATTCCCCATTCGTATCTGTAATAGGAAAGGATCATGCTCCTGGAGAGCTTGTTACCACACTCAACCTGACTCTTTCTAATTATAGTACTGGTAACAAAAAGCACAGAGAATAAAAAAAATATGCAAGCCAACCTCTCAAGAAGTTGTAGACTATAATATGCAGAGAAAGAACCTCACAGGTATGTTACATGACACATGTAGGAGAAATAAATGAGCCACAAGGCCAAGGCGTATAGCTCCCCATGTAGCCTTTTTAAATGAAAGAATTACCCCTGCTCCAAAGAAAAGCAGCCCAGCGAAGATTCTGCACTGAACAAGCACCTGAGACTTCATCTAGACCAGGGGTCTCAAACTCAACTTACTTGGGGGCCGCTGGAAGTAGAGTCTGGGTGAGGCTGGGCCGCATCAAGTATTCCACCGCGGTGGTGGTGGGCCGCTCATCCCGCGTGGCTCCCGGAGGCCGGCCTGGGCGCCGCCGGCGCTTTGAAGGCCGCAGGGCCCCTCCCCGTGCCCCGCCTCTCCCGGCGCGCAGCTTAGAGGGAACATTGCGCCCAGGGTGACGACTCACGCAGGTGCGTGTGAGAAAAACGCGCTGGCCGCACTATCACTAAACTTTGATATCAAGTGGGGGCCACAAAATATCGTCCCGCGGGCCGCAATTGGCCCGCGGGCCGCGAGTTTGAGACCCCTGATCTAGACCAGCCTTCCCAACTTTGTACTCTCCAGATGCTGAACTAAAACTCCAAGAATCATAGCTAGTTGGGGAAGGCTGACCTAGATTTATGTTTTAAACAGTAACCTAAGATCTTCAGGTAAGGCCATCATCAAAAGGTCATGGTTTATTTCTTTTTCAGAGATGTATCTGTTGGCAAAATTAAATCCTTAGCATGCCTTTATTAATAGATTCACAGCTCAGCTGGGAAGCTTAGGGAGACAAGCAGCAGATTCTATATTTAATTGTGGTAGAAGAAAGTATGCTGCAAGTTATTCTGACAGCAGAATTCAAATGGCTGAATTACAGCAGGAATCCATGATCTAAGCTTATTCTCCTCTCAGTAGGTGGCACAGTTCATTCCAGGATGTCACAATTTTGACACACACAGCAGCTCAGTGACTTTATTAGCTCTGTAATACACAGACATTCAACAGGTGCAGGTTTTCCCCCAACACTGTATTTCCAGAACTGCAAGAGGCTACACCTTTGGAATTTCTGTATGTCATGCAGCTACTGGAACCATCAACTGGATATGAGCTAGGGAAAACAGCAGCCCTGAAGTCAACATGGCTCCTCCAAATATTGTTCATTTCATTTAAAATATCTTGGTTCAAGAAGACATTTGAATTTACTGGACAAAATAGTAAAGCCCAAGCCAAATCTTCTAGTCTACACTATTGTACTGGACAGTAAAATTTCTTTATCCATCATTCCAAATTTCTAGACACAGAACAGTATCACCAAAGTTCCTAGAACAATTATGAGTAATTATTTTATATGTGCTTTTCTAGATATAATGCCTAATATATAATGCCTACATTTCTCTATATGGATTTTAAACCATCAGAATTGATTGTAGATTGCTCTTTTATGTAGGGCTATAAGCTTTAATTGGATTTCCTACTAGATCAACTGCAGCTTTAGCTATTTAATTCCTGGGTGCTAATTATAGTAATAGAAAGAGCAAATTTGAAAACCAGTGGACTTGTGTTAAGAATTATTATAGTAGTAAGCTCATTATGTTTTTTGCTGGATGTTATAATAGGGAATAAATATAGCTTTCAAGTATTACACTAAAAAGCTATAGCACCTTTAATTAATTAATTTCAGAGGAAATACTCAAGCACAAACTTCTCATCAAATGAAAACTGCATCAACTTATCCCTTTAATTCTAGTCACTCCAAGCTGCCCTTTCTTATATACTTCCCTTAATTCCAAAAAATGGCACCAATACTTATTTTCATTGTATCATGACAATCAAATCAGTAAATTGACAACGGGATTGTGCCAAACTTTACATGTGAAATCAATGAGGGGTTATAAACACTTACAGTGCTTTTATTGTTAAAAAAGAAAGTGCCGGAATCACATGGCCGCCAGCAGTAAGCACTCAGCTTACTGCTCGCCTTGGGATGCTGCTCCGCTTGGGATTGGTGTGTGTGGTCGCGCACTGAGTGCTTACTGCTGGCACCTTTTTTTTTTTTTTTTTTTTTACAAAAAAAGCACTGCTCCCAGGAGAGTTCCTTCCCTCTCAGCTGTCATTAGCAGTACCTGTTCCTGCAGGCTACAGTGGGGAGGGAGATGAGAGTGTGAAGCAGGATTATTGCATCACCCCTGCTAAAGGGTTGATTTTTTCCGCCCTGTTCCCTCCCCATTTATTTTTCTCTAAGTGTTGTATAGTTTTAATGCTGCACTGCTTTCTATGCAACCTTTGTTCCTGTTGCAAGGAACTCAAGCTGACTTACGAGGTTCTCCTCTCTATGATATCCTCACAAAGTTGTTGTGATTAGGCTGAGAGTCTGTGACTGGCCCAAAGTCACCCATGGGTGGGTTTCCTGGCTGAATGGGGGCGAGAACCTGTCACAAACAAGTCTTTTCTTCCCTGTTTTCTAGCAGACTTAGATGGAATCTTAAAAAAAACTGTCCTGTATTAGAGCTTTACAAGGTACTAAACAGCATTATTCAAAGTAGCATTCTCTTTGAAGCTCCTGCCCATGTGAAGAGCTGGAACCAAACTAAGCACCCTCTCTTTTCTCCCTTTCAGAACGACTCTGACTCCACCTTCACAGTGGCTCCTGCTTGAGAGCTAGACAGTGGGAATACTGGACACTTCCTGAATGGTCTGCTCACTGCACCTGTGACCTCCTCCTGGAGTCAAGGAACTCCCCTTCAGTCTGCTCTCCACCCAATTCCAAAAAGGCTGCCTGGCTTTCACGCTCTGAGTATTTTTATTCATTTGTAAGTTTGTTTATTAAACATATATCCCGCCTTTTACATCCCCCCAAAGGAGCTTACATCATTCACTTCCTCCTGCTCTCAATCTTACCCCATCAAAAAACCCTGTGAGGTACACCAGGTTGAAAGTCTGTGACTGGCCCAAAGTCACTCAGCTGGCTAAGTGGCCAAATGGGGACTAGAACCCAGACTCCCTGAACCCACGCTCTTAACCACTGCACCACACTGACTCTTGACTGCCAGCCTGCCAGCACAAACTGCCTTATTCAACTGATTATACATAAGTCACTCTGGTAGCCTTTCTGGCTGAATAAAAATAATAAAAAACATAAATACACTGTGCAGAACTAACAACTTTGAACTGTTGTTGCTCAGTCTACAACTAATCAGCATACGTCAGCACACTTGCAAAGTATTAATACCTGAATTCATTGGCACCCAGCTATGTTGAGGCTGAATGCTATATTCCTTCTGGAATGTGAAGTAGATATAACCGCAGTAATCATGATACTTTCCAAACAGAAAGTAAAAATGGTATGGGCAGTACAAATATAGTTAAAATGCATAGTGGGATGCAAATTAGGCTTTGTTATTTTTCAGCAGAAGGGGGCAATCGTTTAAAAAGAAGCTTATCTCCTGCTTTCCTTCCATCATACTCAAGGTGGTGCACAGAGTTTCCACATGGACTTCCTGATACATGTGTTTAGTTTCCAACTATCTCTGTATACCTCACTTCTCTATTGCTTAGCAGTGGAATTATCCATTACAAAACAAAACA